CCTGAACCAAAAAGACCTTGCCTGTTCAGGTAATACTTCAGCGAGCAGCTACGCATAACCGGAGACGCCAAAGGTGAAGTCGAAAATTACCTCTCATCCCCGAAACAGAACCCGGACGCAGATGTTATTCGATTTTGGAATGAAAACTCCACGTCTTTTCCCCGCCTGGCTAAAGTAGCTCACATTGTGTTCAGCATCCCAAGCGGGTCTGCGAGCGCAGAGAGGGTTTTCTCCGCTGCTGGCCTGCTGTCAAGAAACCACCGCATGAGTCTGAAGCCTCAGACATTGGCCAAACTTGTGTTCTTGAAGGTGAACTCAAAAGAACTGTAGATAAGGAAAGCAAATCATTTTTTAAATTTTATTTTAAAGTTTGACAATGGATATAAGCCAACATTTTATCCACGTGCACGCTGCGCAAAAGTTCAGTTATCAGAATTTTGGCCTAATAGTTCATTTACTTTTAAAACTTTGATGTATAGCCTGTATATTTTTATTTATATAATTAGGCCCATTGATTCGTTTAATTTTACAGGACTTTTTGTGTATATTCCTTCTTACATAGGCTATGCCTAATTTGTAATTTGAAATAAAACATTTATATTTGGAAAATGTTGTCGTTGCTCTTTAGTTCTTTGGGAGGTAAGGCTGTGGTTTAAGCTAAAAGTGAAAGGTGAAAAGACGTATTTTGCGGACGTTGAAATCAGGTTCATTTTCAGTTCTGAATGAAAGTTGAAAATATGTCATTTATTGATGTCTATACTTCAACCAAATCAAGGCTGGTTCAGACCAAATCTGAACCAAACATAGACGTCTATGTTTGGGCCAAATCAAGGCTGGTCCAGACCGGACCGAAAACCAAAGTCCGTGGAAATAAAGGCTGGTCTGGACAGGACCAAAAAAAGATGTCCAAAAGAAGTCGGCATCGGTCCGTGCTTACTGGGGTGTAGCCTACTGGTGTCTGCCTGCAATGGAATTTTATGAATGCCTATCCATGTGTTAGGCCCACCATTTGTAAAACTGGCTGTTGCATTGGCTATACTAGTCCTGATTCCTGTGACTAATCAATTTGGCTATTTAAACTCTGAATATCAGCTACCCAACTTTATCAGGAGTTATCCTGAGCCTATTTGCAATGTGTTTACACAAGCGGGAAATGCATAAGTATTTTATTTTTTGCTATGATCAGCTCATACAAACTTGAAACCATTGATCATGACATCATGACATTTGATTGGGCGCCATTTAGGTTAGGCCATTTGATCGGAGAAACCTGCATGATGTAAAAAGTGTCTTTCTCATTACATTGTCATACATTTTATCTCCAGCCTGTAGTCGACAGAAAAGGCCACATACTCGTTGTACCATATACTATATCTGCTACATGATTTATGTTAGATGATTTTTTTGACGGAGCGTTGGTGGAGGGTGGCAGCAATGCCTCTCTCCAACAGCACCCTGGAGAGGCGCGCTGGGAATGGACAAGCAAAATGTTTTGCGCCCCTGCCTTTCACAAAGTGGGCACTACTTATCACAGGGCGGCATCAGTTTTATGTGCTGTTGGAGGTGCGTCTTGGTCAGTTTAGCTCAGAAAATGTCTCCTCTTCAATCTGCCGCCATAGGCGGCCGCCTAATCCTGCCTAAATAGCGGGCCGGCCTTGCCCGTATTAGTGGACCGATATAGCCCTCTGCAGTGCGGGAAACATTTTATTTGCACTGTCCTGGGCCTTTACTACTCCTGTATTAACGGACCGATATAGCCATCTAAAGCATGGGGAGAAATGTTTTTCTCTTAACTCCCCCCCCTCACCCTCTTAATTTGCAGCACCCCCACCCCCAAACATCTTCCTGTGGCTATGGTTATGTTGCTGGCCATGGGCTGTTTGTTTGGGATCCTTTATCTAAAACGCTGCTCTTGTTCTATTATAAAGGTTACATGTGCTCGCATTACTGAGTCTTATCACAGGTGCAAGGCAAAGAGGAAATTATCTGCACACATTATTGTAACGTTCCCAGAGGTGGAATTGTATAAGCTGTGCAAACAAAGAACATGTAGAATTGCATGAAATGTATTTCTAAAAGTGCTTTGGGGGTGTTTTTCTGCTAAGGGGACAGGACAACTTCACTGCATCAAAGGGATGATGGACGGGGCCATGTTTACATTTTAGTCATTTAGCAGACGCTCTTATCCAGAGCGACTTACAGTTAGTGAGTGCATACATTTTCCATACTGGCCCCCCGTGGGGATCGAACCCACAACCCTGGCGTTGCAAACGCCATGCTCTACCAACTGAGCTACAGAGGGCCATGTACCGTCAAATCTTGGGTGAGAACCTCCTTCCCTCAGCCAGGGCATTGAAAATGGGTCGTGGATGGGTATTCCAGCATGACAATGACCCAAAACACACGGCCAAGGCAACAAAGGAGTGGCTCAAGAAGAAACATATTAAGGTCCTGGAGTGGCCTATCCAGTCTCCAGACATTAATCCCATAGAAAATCTGTGGAGGGAGCTGAAGGTTCGAGTTGCCACACGTCAGCCTCGAAACCTTAATGACTTGGAGAAGATCTGCAAAGAGGAGTGGGACAATATCCCTCCTGAGATGTGTGCAAACCTGGTGGCCAACTACAAGAAACGTCTGACCTCTGTGATTGCCAACAAGGGTTTTGCAACCAAGTACTAAGTCATGTTTTGCAGAGGGGTCAAATACTTATTTCCCTCATTAAAATGCAAATCAATTTATAACATTTTTGACATGCGTTTTTCTGGATTTTTGTTGTTGTTTTTCTTTCTCTCACTGTTCAAATAAACCTACCATAAAAATTATAGACTGATCATGTCTTTGTCAGTGGGCAAACGTACAGAATCAGCAGGGGATCAAATACTTAATTCCCTCACTGTAAATTTGTTTTTGTATGCGTTCTGGTACTTCAGAGCCCCCCAGGTCACCCCCCTCCCGGGCTCACTTTTTGTTCCTGCACCTCACAATTGACAAATTAAGCACTGGAAGTAATACATTAGTATGGGTCCTTTCTTCACACAACAGCTATTGCATTTTCAATTAAGTCCTTCATTAGCTGAAATTGAATGGAGAGAGTGAGTGTAATACATCAGAGAGAGGTGGTTCGGTGGACCATGGTCATGTGATAAGTAATGACTGATACCTGAAGACTTGTGTCAGCTCCTAAAGGAACCTATGGTTTAGCTCAGCTGGCTAACACAGTTTTGTGACATTTAGACGACCCAGCCTCAAACCCACTCAGTCACAACAAACTACCCAGCTAGCACATAATGTTCTGAGAACAACTTTCTGGGAATGGTGCAGGATAGTTCCTTGGCTTTGGAACATGCTCTGCACATTTAAGAAGTTAACAAATAAACATTTCCTAAAAGTTCAAACATGGTTACATTTCATTTCAATGTTCTAGGAACGTTCTCCAACTGGTTTGACATTGGGAATGTTCTCAAATAGTTCAGAGAACGTTAAGAAACAACGTTGTTCTGTGGGAATTTCAGTACTTCAGCATAACGTTTCGATCTCTATCCTCTATCTTGTTAAGTGTGTTTGGATGTGTTGGCTGCGCACACTAATTGACCACACCTGATCTTAATGAGTGCTTGTTTCCTTTGAAATGGGGTTAGTTTGAATAGACTACAAGTAACAGCTTTGTATGCATAAAAAAACTATCAGATGTGAGCTCCATCCTGGTGGCGCAGTGGACTAGGGGACTAGTTGAATTCTATGAATAAAGAACAGAAGATTATAGGTTCAAATCTCACTGATGCCGTGTCACAATAAAAAATAAGTGTTTGCATGATTAATGTGTAAGAAATGTGTGTCCCATCTGTGCTTGGAGTTCAAAAAAGTTTAACTAAAATAAGCTAGCAGTGTTATTAAAAGGCTTATTGAAACATTCAGTGAAAAGTGTAAGCAAGTTATTCAAAAACCTCAAAATAACCTATAATTTCCATATTCAGAGTGTTAATAAAACCTCCCAGGAAAACTTTAAAGGAACCAGAGTAAAGCGTTGCAACCTCCATGCAACCTAAAAAGAAACGTTCCTAGAACAGGCAAAATGTCCACTTCTGTTCTCAGAATGTTTAGAAAACGTTTTACCTGTCAGAAAAAATATGGCTTCGTTCCAACAACTTCCAAGGGACCAAATGTGCTATCTGGGTAGTCATTATAAACATGGCTGAGATAGTGCAAAGAATATGCCTAGTGCATCTAACACATACTGTATTATTATTATTATTATTATTATTATTATACTGTAGTAACAACCTTCCAAGTACAATGAGGGAAATGGCAGACAGACAAGATAGGCTGACAAATGTCCTATTCACATTTCATTCAATGCTGTGTATGTTATAACTGGAATGTTAATAGATAGCACGGAGCTATAATACAGCATGCATTTTTCAAAACTAGCGTTGATCGTGCTTTGACTTTCAACCTCCCATGCCCATGACTTTAAACCAGACACAGCACCTCCACCTGCTGGTAACCAGCTGAAATTGTAATTTTAGAGCGTATACTAATGGTTGAGCTACTGTAAGTGTAATGGACTAGTGAATAACTAGATAATACCTTCCATGATAGTTATTGAAAACTGTTGTACTTGTATTAGTTAATAGAGGTATAGAGGTACTTTTATTAGAGGTAGCGTGTCAGAGGCAAGTCAGAGGCATCTCTCTCACAAATACACACCAAACGGCTGCATCTCCTGGCCTTTTAATTAGTGAGTGTCTGTCTGTCTGATGCCTCGATCTCCCTGAAACAGACAATGACTTTGCTCCTGATGGATGATTCACATGACTATATAAAAGGGAAGAAAAAGGGAAAGTGAGTAGAATTGAAAGAAAGCCTACAGTGTAGACTTTACTGTAAAAATGGTGGTGGTGAAAAAAACTGTGTGAATAACTTACTTGCGGTTCCACTGTGTTTTTATATTTGAATAACATCAGCAATGAATCACAATCACATGGTAGTTCTGTCGAACCCTAATCAGCCCCATGGTTTGTCGAAGACCCCACTCTATCCCGATTGAGGGTGCACTCACTGGGGTTCTGGGCTCTCTCGGCCGCCCTCTGCTCCAGGTGCATGTGGAGGATGGCCTGCACCTTCCTCTGGTTGGTGGAGATGTTGGGCTCGGCAATGACCTCGGTCAGCCGCAGGTTGTTCTTGATGGCCTTGGAAGCCTTGGCCCAAGCCACCATGGGAAGCTGCTCCTGGTAGTCCCTGTCTGTGAAGTCAATCTCCCCGCACTGGATCCCTTTAATCCTGGACAGTTATATCACAGTTACTGTATATATAGATAATGCCTTACAATGGTGAGTGCAACGGACAGTCTAGATTCACAAGGCTAAGAAAATCACTCCTTTTATGACCAGTTAGCCTTGATTTGGGCCAAGCCAGTGTCTATGCATGGTGACCCATTGTCTATTGTAATCATGTATTGATTAAAAGGAGAGGATATAAATTGGTTGCGCTTGCTATGTCTCACCTCCTGTTAGTTAAGATGGTGTACATCACCTGCACTAGGAGCTCTGCTGCTCCTGGTTTGCAGTGGATGGTCCTGTTGATAGCTTATTTTAGCAGATGGATGTTTTGTTTAGCTAGAAACTGAGTAGAGAGTAGAGATGGATTTTCCATTATTCAACATGACACACAAAAGAAAAAAACAGATGTCTTGAGTATAGAAAGGCAGCCTTCTCACAACAAAAACATTGATGCCTTTGCAAGTGCACATAGGATTATACCCACCAGTTTATTTGTACTCATACACCTATCATTTTGTTACTGGCCATGCCCTCCATGCATTACCCTCTCTATTTGTGCCCAGTTGCCCTGTTTGGTTGGAAGTGATGTCCCATTGTAGTAGGAGTGCATGGGGAAGTCTTCATGATAATACCAGGAGAACGTTTCTGCCACAAGGTAGCCATTGGAGAAATCCCTGGAGAAGGGAAAATGTGATTCTTTGGATAGATAGTCTATAAACTGACTGTTAGGTTATTTCAGTGAGCAATACTTTGCAGTTTGCTAATAAATGTACACTCACTTGCGCATTCTTTGGAAAAAATGACAAATCCAGGCTTTTTAGCCACTTCAGAACTTCTCGTGGCAATCCTGTCTTTTTGGCAGGCTGTGCATAAGCATTGTTAGCTAGCCAATCAGCTGTAGCTAGCGTTTATGAACCAGCCACTGTTGCTGTTGCTTTTCCTGTTCAGTATTTAGCTAAAGTTGTTACTATATAATACTGTGTCTTGTAGACACATTTTGGTAAATGAGCTAGCTAAGTTAACTAGCTTACTAGCCCATATGATATGACACATTCAAGATGTTGATCAACAGTTCCATGGCAACGGCCCTACTTCTTCTTTCTCCGGGGAAAGTGAATGTTTTTGCGGGAAGGTACATTGTTGCAACCCACTGGAAATAGAAAATGTTGCCACACACTGAAAGCAGCTTGCTTTTGAAAGACTTGCATAATGCAAACTAAACCATAAATTCAAAGCGTTTTAATACGATAATAGCTCGCAGCTCAGACAATGATATCGCATATAATAAAACACATCAAGCAAGCAAATGTATATCTATATTTTGGAGTATATGAATGCATGAATGAATTGTTCTCCATAATGGTAAGTATTTAGGTGAATTTCAAGTTTTTTAGATGCACGTCTAATGTAAATCACAGAAAAAGGTGAATACCATTATAATATAATAATCAAAATTAAGTCAATTTGTCTATAAAACGCATGCACTTTAAATGGTGCTATTGTATGAGCATACGTGCCAGCCATTTTTATTGACTAAATATTGAAAAGATGCACTCATTTTCTAAGTGCGTTTAACAATCCAGCTCTGGATTTATATGAATCTCTCCCTTGAAAATGTTCATAGCAAACCATGGTTGTTGGTCATTGCTCCAATCCCAAATTTGAGCAGTTGATCTTGTGAACCATACTAAAATCAAGTATAAGCTAAATCAAGTATGCATTTCATTGCTTAAGGTGCCAGTTGTGTCAAAAGTGCTCCTTCAATCATTGCAGGCTGTTGAGTTCCCATGAATGATTGACACAAGGAAGATGCCACCACCACAGCCTATGACATTGTGATGTTCTCTGCTTATCATCTGTACTGGAGGTAGTTCTTGAGGGGGTTGGGCAGGGGTAGATGGTTGATGAGGTGAAACCTGTCGCGGCCCACACAGTCACGTATGCGCTGTCGACACAGCTGACTCAATGGCTGGGGCGTGGCTGAAAAAAATAAAAAACATATCATGCTATGCACCCAAAATATATGTTACTTTTACTTTACATTACGTTCCATTGCATTATTCCATTGTATTCTATTCCAGACAAAATATAATGGAAAGCTAGTTGGACTTGGGTTATGAAGCAAAAACACTACGAGACTTTGGCTATAGGAATTCACGAAAGATGACTCTGAATAAACCTATAGAACTTACCCTCATAGACCAGAAGGAACCCTTCTGTCAGGCTGCTGGGGGGAGCAGCCTCCACAGGCCTCTGGAACTCCATGTTCCTGGCGTTGATATCCGCCCCAAAGTCCAACAGCAGCTTAACAATGGCTGTGCAGTCCTTTTCAGCGGCAGCGTGTAAGGGAGAGTCCATATATATACCTTTCTGTACATTTGCTCCTGTGTGGAGGGAAACCAAGGTAAGCTACTATGGATTTAATAGTCCTTGGTCATTCAGTTACAGGAATTAAGTACTCTATCGCTGGTATAACATGATGTATTTAGGGGGGTGCAACATATTAGTGGTGTAGAAAAGAGCAGATGCTCTGAGCTATCCCACCAAGGCCAAGCTACTGCTGCATAGTGAGAGTGTTATACATTTACATTTCACCACTTTGGGAGACAGTAATAATCTTACCACTAGTTTTCACTCCTCCTCTCATCATACTAAGGTGCTTTGGCAGAGAAGAGGTGCAAGTGCCTCACCTTCCCTCAGCAGCCTCCGGACACACTCTATCTCCCGAGAGACACAAGCGGTGTAGAGGGGCGTTCCCAGGTGAGGAATGTCAAAGTCCACATCTGCTCCCCATCTGACTAGAGTCTCCACACACTCACTGTTGCCTGCCCAAGGTGGGCACATACATGGAAGTCATAACAATCAGCTTTCCAATTAATAATTACGGATAATTATTGTACCCGTAATATCCTCTAAGCAATATCCTCTCAAACTTGCACTGTTACGTCAAATACTGTACGCTGATTGGTGACATTTTGATTCAGATTTTTAAGTTTGATGTATTTGCCTCAATCCCAAGTTGGAATACAGCCCAAAAGGTCAGTGAAGTATACTTCAAAGTTTGTACTATATGAATTAAGATAAGGATGTTGGAGTGATAAGGGTACTGAGCATACCTTTACTGCTGGCTTCGTGAATGGGCGAGGGCTGAAATACCAGAGCCTCGGGTTTGGCCCCGTTCTCCAGGAGGACCTCTGCACATGATACACTGCCCACTGAGCACGCGTTGAACAGGGGAGTCACCCCGTCAATGGTGGTGACGTTCACCTGCACAGTCTCATGTTAATTCTGACCACTCAGCTGAATAACATAGCACCATTTTGGGGCAGAGGAAAAATAACAAATGACAGAGAACAATACGTATTTTCATAAGCCTTATTGACATAATTCTTAATTCATTATTTACTAATAATGATTGTTTCATAAAAAAAGAACAAATAAAGTATTCTTGATTATTACTGTATATTCCCCAGTGACTCACATTGGCACCTGCAGCGATCAGAGCTCTGGCACATGCTACATGGTCTCCAAAGCAGGCCTCGTGGAGAGGACTCACATTGTCTATAGTGATAACATTTACATTGTGGCCCTGTGGGAGCAGCAGAACATGACCATAGTACATTTCAGAAGGTAAGCAGTGGATGCACACACTGAATTGAATTGGATTACCTTTGGCTCACCTGTAAAATGAGATTCCTCAGGGCGAAGAGACGACCTTGGCATGCAGCATCATGTAAGGGTGAGCGGTCTGCCCAGGACCCTGCAGCAAACACAAATGCTTATGTCACTCATAACAAGTCACAGTCTTAAAGATTTGATGAATGATTCAATTTCACAGGGCACACACACACCTGGGTCAATATCGAGAATAACGCCAGATGCATTCCAGACTGCGTCATCATTGTTACCTCCCTCCATATCACTGATCTACAGTGCATTCGGAAAGTATTCAGACCCCTTAACTTTTGTTTCCTCATCAATCTACACACAATACCAAATAATGACAAAGCAAAAATAGGTTTGTAGAAATGTTTGCACATTTATTAAAAACAAAAAAAATGAAATATGACATTTACATATGTATTCACACCCTTTACTCAGTACTTTGTTGAAGCACCATTGGCAGTGATTACAGCCTCAAGTCTTCTGTACTTTGCTCCGTTCATCTTTCCCCTCGATCCTGACTAGTCTCCCAGTCCCTACCGCTGAAAACCATCCCCACAGTATGACGCTGCCACCACCATGCTTCACCGTAGGGATGGTGCCAGGTTTCCTCCAGACGTGACGCTTGGCATTCAAGACAAATAGTTTAATCTTGGTTTCATTCAGCCTTTTGGCAAACTCCAAGCGGACTGTCGTGCCTTTTACTGAGGAGTGGCTTCCATCTGGCCATTCTACCATAAAGGCCTGATTGGTGGAGTGCTGCAGAGATGGTTGTCCTTCTGGAAGGTTCTCCCATCTCCACAGAGGAACTCTTGAGCTCTGTCAGAGTGACCATCGGGTTCTTGGTCACTTCTCTGACCAAGGTCCTTCTCCCCCGATTGCTCAGTTTGGCCAGGCGGCCAGCTCTAGGAAGAGTCTTGGTGGTTCTAAACTTCTTCCATTTAAGTATGATGGAGGCCACTGTGTTCTTGGGGACCTTCAATACTGCAGACATTTTTTGGTAACCTTCCCCAGATCTGTGCCTCGACACAATCCTGTCTCGGCGCTCTACGGACGAATTCCTTTGACCTCATGGCTTGGTTTTTGCTCTGACATGCACTGTCAACTGTGGGACCTTATATAGACAGGTGTGTGCCTTTCCAAATCATGTCCAATCAACTCCAATGAAGTTGTAGAAACATCTCAAGGATGATCGATGGAAACAGGATGCACCTGAGCTCAATTTCAATTCTCATAGCAAAGTGTCTGAATATGTAAATAAGATATTTATATATGTTTTATAATTTAGCAAACATTAAAAAAAAGAAAACAGTTTTCACTTTGTCATTATGGGTATTGTGTGTAGATTGATGAGGATTTTTATTTATTTAATCAATTTTACAATTAGGCTGTGATGTAACAAAATGTGGAAAAAGTCAAGGGGTCTGAATACTTTCCGAATGCACTGTATGACACTGCTGAAACTGTTCTATTCTATTTCACTACGTGTCAGGTAAAGTACTAAAGTTCCATGCAGTCCAATTGTGGGATGAATATATACTGAGCCAATATGTCTACACTCGGTTCAAGTTCTCTTGAAATAACCTACTTGATGTAGTAATCAAAGACCAAGCCACTGTAAGTCAGAAACAAAACATGTTCTGTGTACTACATCTAGCTACGTCACTGACCTTTAATAACACACAACAATATTTTACTCTGTGTTGCTGTTTGCTGCATCGGTGCTCCCTTTCCATGGACCAAGCATGTTGGCACACTGTCTGTCACTGACACTGAAAAGTTTAAGTGTTGTTTTGGTCTGCAGATCTGTCTTAGTGTTCCCATACGGCCATATCTCCATGTTACATCACTTGTTTGCGGAAGCCAGACGGAAGACATAGATGGCCACCTGTGCTAATTAGCTATCTAGCGTGCTCCGAACACCTATGTTTAAGCGTAACTGGGGAGGAAGTGTAGTTCGTCAACTGAAGGCACTGGATCTGTGGATCTGTGCAAAACTGCTACAGTAAGTATATTTTTTATTTGAAAGATTATTTCTCTCTTATATGAAAGATGGAGGGCATATCAGCATATGTTTCATAAACCGTTTTGAAAGTGATGATTATTTACTTTTCTAAACGTTAAAACACAGTGTCGGAATTGTAGGTTACATGGAGCCAAATGTGGCCGAATGTAACCGCTGAAAACCTTACATAAGGAGAAGGGTTTTTAAGAGCTATAGTACACGGCAGTCAGGAATGGAAACTAGGGCAAGGGGGTGGGGAGGCACCGCGTGGTCCCGTTCTATTAATACATCAGGGTAGAAATTAAACTGACCAGTATGTACTGTGTATACACAGTCACGTTTCAGGTACTTTTCATGTTAAGGTCAACAAAGTGAGTATATGCATTATTCTCAGTATTCAGTGTGTAGCCTAATCATAAAACAAGAGACCCTTCCATTCAGTCAGTTCATCTCTTCCTAAATATGAACTCTTCAGTTTACAAGGCAAAAGGCAATGGCAAATATAAATAGCAGAATCATTTGAATATAATCAGTATTCCAATATTATTCTTTTTTTGACAATGGATCAATATAGTAGAGAGATGTGTGTACTCACTGTGTCCTTGACCAAAATCATAGAACTCTGCAGATATCCTGGCCGCCTCCTTGCGGTTTCCTTTGATGATGTAAAAGTAGGAGAGGCAGTTGAGGCTTATCTTAATAAAGAGCTTGAAGCAGAACAGTGCCAGTATGGTGAGGTAAACGTTGGAATAATGCAGCGAGGCAAAAGGATTCTCTGTTGCCTCTGTCATATTGCCCCCTCTTTTGAACATGGCTCTGCTATACTGAGGGATCATATGCCACTCTCAAGCAGTCCTCAAAGAACTAGCTGATATAATATTGTCCAGCTGCTTCTGTGCCTGTATTAAAATAGTGTCTCTCGTTGTCATTGTGGTGTAGTGGAGTGCCATTTCTATGACGGAAGTCAATATCATCCTGTAATCATGATAAAAAAATACATTTGAACAGAAAAAGCATGGAGCAGTGTCCACTATTGGTTGCAATGCATTTTAGGGGCTAAATGCATTGCAACTTGTAAACCAGACTGCATATGGTCCAGAATAAAGTTATTCCATAATAACAAAATGTTGAGGATACTTTTAATCTATGAAGGAAAATGCCTACATGTAGGCATTTTCTATGAAGGAAAATGCCTACATCAAGGCTACATTTCCAACTGTATATAAATAAGTTATCATTTCTAGTATGTTGTATAAACAGCAGAGGGCAGTATAGGCTAGTGCAAATTTGCCAATGTGTGCAGGGGTTTTGACTAGATATAGAGATCAGTTTATGTCAAAATTGACTTTTCGTAGCAGGTTAGGATAACTTGCCTTTCAGGAGAATTAACGTAGAAGGTTAGGAGAATTTCATTAAGGTTAGATAAAGGGTTAGGGCTAGCTAAAATGCAATAAAGAAAATTCACATACCCTGTATCCTTTCTAGATCTGCTCGAGGGTCCAGAGAGGACAGAAAGTGAAAGAATTCAGGGGAAGCTTGACGAAACACACAACAAGTAGCTAAGTTGACAAGCTAACGTTAGCTAGCTAGTGAGTAAGCTCTCTGTTAGGGATGGATCGAAATTTACATAATGGGTACCTGGAGGAAAATGGGGGAGGGTCATGTAATTTGTAATTGATGAAATTCCAATATGTTTCTGTGTTTTAGAATTAGTTGCTTATTAGGCTATACTGTATATCGATGTGTGTCCGATGCCGCCCCTCATTTCTGATTCTCCGCTGGGCACGCAATATCAAGTGCGCCTATAGGCTATTTATTGTGGTCGCAATCAAATGATCCAAAGCCTATAGGCTATGAAGTGCATGCACAGAGCAAAGTTATATTCCTAAGATAACTGCTGGGATGGTGTAAATAAAACTAGGCTGCATTACACACTGCAATGGATATGCTGTCTAACCAATGGCTGTGCTGTGTAGGCCTACGGTGGAAGTTCAGGGGGAATCAAAGGCTTCTTCAGATGTTTTTTTATTAGGCCTAGTCCAAAAAATGCACTATCTTGCGTGCTGACTAGCCTATAGCCTATGTTCTGTTCAGTTTGAGAAGTAGCCATCCTCTTTAGTATGGATGGCTCTATGCGAATTAATCCCACTGAGAGAAAAAGCAGAAAAGGATCACTCCCTGTGCTGGAGATCCACCTCACCAATAACACAGTCTGCTTCTTTGACTCTACTGTGGAAATCAGCTATGGGTGATATACTAGGGTAATTCACACTGGGCTGGAACAAAAGCCTGAACGCTCAGCAGCCTTCTAGGATTGCAGTTGACTACCCCTGCCGTGAAGCACTACCCTTTTGCTCTTGGCATCAGCCCATATAGTTCCAGTTATGCCTTTTGATTGCAATCATTCTAACATGAAATTGTGTCCTTCTCTACCACACACACATTATTCATCAGCCATGTCCTTTTCCTTCTCTTCTGTTTCATCTCAGTGCCGTAAGACAGACTCCACTCTCAACAAACACTACAAGTCTACAAACGGCCTCAGTGTGGTCAGTGCAACAGGGCCATCACCGCCTGTGGCCTCGGAGACAACAGAAGGATGATGTACTTCTAAAACCGCTGTCAGACTGGGGAGCCAAGTGAGGTTAACCTGAGGTAAAGTCACAGAATCTGAATTTAAGATGAATTAAAATAGAAATGAGTTCAGATGAAAGCCTTAGATACCGACACCTCAGGATTTTCCACACTTGGGCTGACATGCAATTATAATAATACAGTTGAAGTCGGAAGTTTACATACACTTAGTTGGAGTCATTAAAACTAGTTTTTCAACCACTTAACAAATGTCTTGTTAACAAACTATAGTTTTGGCAAGTCGGTTTGGACATCTACTTTGTGCATGACACAAGTAATTTTTCCAACAATTGTATACAGACAGATTATTTCACTTATAATTCACTGTATCACAATTCCAGTGGGTCAGAAGTTTACATACACTAAGTTGACTGTGCCTTTAAACAGCTTGGAAAATTCCAGAAAGTGATGTCAGGGTTTTAGAAGCTTCTGATAGGCTAATTGACATCATTTGAGTCAATTAGAGGTGTACCTGTGGATGTATTTCAAGGCCTACCTTCAAACTCAGTGCCTTTTTGCTTGACATCATGGGAAAATCAAAATAAATCAGCCAAGACCTTAGAAAACAAATTGTAGACCTCCACAAGTCTGGTTCATCCTTGGGAGCAATTTCCAAACGCCTGAAGGTACCACGTTCATCTGTACAAACAATAGTACGCAAGTATAATGGAGAAATGTCCTCTGGTCTGATGGAACAAAAATATAACTTTTTGGCCATAATGACCATCGTTATGTTTGGAGGAAAAAGGGGGATGCTTGCAAGCCGAAGAACACCATCCCAACCATGAAGCACGGGGGTGGCAGCATCATGCTGTCGGGGTGCTTTGCTGCAGGAGGGACTGGTGCACTTCACAAAATAGATGGCATCATGAGGAAGGAAAATGATGTGGATATATTGAAGCAACATCTCAAGATATCAGTCAGGAAGTTAAAGCTTGGTCGCAAATGGGTCTTCCAAATGGACAATGACCCCAAGCATACTTCCAAAGTTGTGGCACAATGGCTTAAGGACAACAAAGTCAAGGTATTGGAGTGGCCATCACAAAGCCCTGACCTCAATCCTATAGAAAATGTGTGGGCAGAACTGAAAAGGCGTGTGAGAGCAAGGAGGCCTACAAACCTGACTCAGTTACACCAGCTCTGTCAGGAGGAATGGGCCAAAATTCACCCAATTTATTGTGGGAAGCTTGTGAAAGGCTACCCGAAATGTTTGACCCAAGTTAAACAATTTAAAGGCAATGCTACCAAATACTAATTGAGTATATGTAAACTTCTAACCCACTGGGAATGTGATGAAAGAAATAAAAGCTGAAATAAATCATTCTCTCTACTATTATTCTGACATTTCAAATTTTTTAAATAAAGAGGTGATCCAAACTGACCTAAGACTCCCGAGTGGCGCAGTGGTCTAAGGCACTGCATCGCAGTGCTAGCTGTGCCACTAGAGATCCTGGTTCGAGTCCAGGCTCTGTCGCAGCCAGCCGTGACCGGGAGACCCATGGGCAGCGCACAATTGGTCCAAGGTAGGGGAGGGTTTGGCCGGCAGGGATGTGGGTTCGTTTCCCACGGGGGGCCAGTATGAAAAAATGTAAGTTGAAAAAAAAAAACTGTAAGTTGCTCTGGATAAGAGCGTCTACTAAATGTAAGACAGGGAATATTTACTAGGATGAATTGTGAAAAATTGAGTTTAAATGTATATGGCTAAGGTGTATGTAAACTTCCGACTTCAACTGTACATTTTACTTCTGGGGTAGAAGGGGTCTAATATTCTAATCATTATTGATTAAGTTAAAGCCAAAGTTAAAATGGATGATTAAACTGATTGATATTTTTCTCAAAATAAGTTGTCAACTAAACCATTTGTTGATTAATTGGTCCTAATAATCCATTAATAGCGGATAGCTGTACACACTAATACAGTGATTTATGGTTGATACATTGAACTTGACAAACTTTGATAAAATTATTTTTCAGGGCCTAATAATGATGTTTTATATTGCTCTTCCTTTACAGCATTGGCTAATTAAAAAAAAAAGTTGAGCAAATCACTAACTCATGCATTTAAGATGGACTCTTCAAGCCACAAGTTATCGAGGTGGTGGCATACAACTTTCATTACACTTTTCTTTCCAACTTCAAATGTAAATACTTGTGAAACATGTGCTTTGTGAAAGACCGTGGGATCACAATTGAGGTGAGATAACGGGAGATAATCGCACAAAAAAAATCATGATAGGTTTCAGCTCGTATTATGGGAAACCTTTTTTAACTTTGCAAATAGTTTTTGTTTCTATTTAAAGAATGGCAGATCCTCCCAATTTGTCTCATGACCATAGGGACTAATAAGAGTTCTATGATTAGCCATCTCTTAAGATGATTAAATATAGCTAGGAAGACAAATTCTAAGCAACACTAAAGTCAGTAGGTTCCATTTGGAGTAAAACCATTAAATCTGAAACAGATGGTAGAGGGATTTGTCAAGAGACCTGGCTTTGTAACACATGCGCAATGAAGATGTTAATGGGCAGCGATAGCAGCTGCCTGACCAGAAGAAGAACATTAGTTTTTTTAAACGGCTGGCATTGGAATAAGCGTAGAGCACAACAGATCTGCCTTCAAAGGAATCAAAATGCAATTAAACAAAGCATTGATTATTGAAGTATTCTCACAAGAAAGGATGTAGCTATTTGGTGAAGATGAAGTGACAATGAAAAGGATGGTAGACACTTTTCAAAATGTGTATGTCAAACAATGCCAACAATCCTAATTGCAGGGGTAGTTACAAAAATGATTTATTCAGTGTTATAACTCCTTGTTTATTTAAAGTTCAATGGCCAACTCTACAGAAGTACAGAGAATAATTTATTGCATTTGGACAACTTACGAATTAAAATGCTTTTCTTTGCATGTTTAATTGAAAATGAACTCCTTTTTTTAATGTTTATTTCAGATATTCATGTGAAGAAAAAAGTAAAGTAAAATTTTTTAAACAACGTCAAAATTTGCTGTATTGCAATCTAGTTTGGGAATGCACTAGCCTCCGCTAAAAAAACACAACCAAACATGATAGGCAAAACAATATCAAATACAATTATAATACAATTATGATAATTATAATTACTTTTTTTTATTTCTAAAATGGCTCAACCGGGGCACCAAGACAATACTAGGTACACTCATACTTTTTACGACACTAAAACTATATATAGTTAGGGAAAAGGT